ACACTTCCACTTCTCGATGAATATGCAACGTCAATTCGTCACCACTACCAATGCATCACTCTTCTTTAATTTGGACTCATGTGGCCAACCCCTTTAACAATGAACTTGATCCGTGTTAGTGGGATGAAGATCCGACGTGTCAGACTCCACCCGATTAATGCTTTTTAGTTCCCTTAGAAAAGCCTGTTTCCTTTTCAAGCCAATTAATGCACAAATATACAAAGTACAGCGACATGTTTAAATGAGGCACATGGCCAGGACAGTTAGCATTCGCGAGTGAACGCAGTTTGCATGCGTGAGCGTGCACATTCAATCGATTTTTTTCGTGGACAGACAGCCACTGCGCGCGTGAGTGCTGTGTGTGTGCTTGCATGACTGGATCAATGACTCACCCTCTTTGTCATTGATTTTTTGTTAGCAGTCGCCTGTAACGTAGGCGTAACGATACGCACACAGGAGTTAGTTACTCGATTTTACGCGACTTAGCTGGACTGGCGTGACGCGAATAAACGGTCGTGTTCTCTTTCGACACTGTCTTCTGTCTTCTCGAATTGTGACCGACTGTTATCTATAGGGTTTTGTGGTAGTGCTAAACTCGGCCCCTACAACCTCGGTTCTCCTCATGCCAAATAATACACAAATATACAAAGTGCTGTGATATGTTAAAAAGCGGCACATTGCCCAAAATATCTGAAAACAGAATGGGTAGAATGCGGAATATTGGTGGAGAATGCTTAAGGTTGTACTGTGAAAACATGAAATAAAGTTCGTTTTACGACGTAGAGAGCAGGTTGTGGGGATATTCAGAAACACACAGGGAGACTAGCGTGCACACCGACGACGTTGCAAGAGTGGGGCCATGCAGTGATTGTACAGGGTAAGTTAAAACACTGGATGTTTATTGCTAATTGAATAAATGTCACTGCGTAGGGTTGATCGGCGATCCACAGCTAGACACCTGCAAAATCACTAACTGAATCGTCGCTTTTGTTAGACTCATCGTCTTCAATGGCCTCTATCATCTCATTGAGGTATTGCGACATTTTGATTACATTTACATGGTTGTGGCTGTTTGAGTCGTTCTGTGACATTTAAAGTGATAAGCGCAACCTGCATGATGAGTTCGTGTATCCTTTTTAGAAATTTGTCTAATGGCGCTGCAAACTTGTGTGTGGATCTGCGGCGATTCGCGTAGACACGAAGTATTTCCGTGAGGATGTTCCTTCGAATCAAGATTCTACTTGCGTCGGACAAACTGAGACGGCCTTGTAAGAAAACAAGGAAGTAGCAACTTCTTTAGGCTTCATTGAAACTTCGTTCAGGCATTGTTTGCGAAGATGACTTACAGGGATTAATGAGGAGAAAGGCGGCCAACTTGGCGACCTCAACGTCATCGACCTGTAGCTTGTGCAGTTTGAAGGCCAACGAGCGGGTAAAGAAAGAGCATATGTCAGACGAGGTACCGATTTCAGGATACACTGTGTTCTCTACTGCTGGAACCGTCAACCAGTCCTCGTTTCCCATCTCCTTGCCATCGCACTTTCTCCGTAGTATGAGAGACAGTGTGTGGGCAGCTTCCAAAGTTAGAATATCTGTGATGGCGGTTTGAAGAAGTTGCACCTGATCCTGCGAATTGAGCTAAAAACAAACATTGGCACATCTGTTAAAACCATTCTGACCTTTAGTGAGCATTTTTCAAGCATTTGGATGCTATCTTACTAAAGAAAATCCAGGCATCTGAAATGCAAACCCAGGCAGATGGCATAATATTGGGTTTGGTACAGATGGAATGGGCTCGGCATTTTCCGACCTGACACCACCCTTCGCACCACCTTGAGGCTGGTCTTCTCTCTGAAGAGGAAAATGACGATTTGTGGACACAAAGGATGCCAAACACGACAAGTGGATATGAAACACAGGGCGATAATTCAGCTCGAAAATTTCGCTACGTGAACTGGTGGTGCTGTCACCAATTTGCTATTAGTAGTTGCTATGTGGCTGCTGGAAGTGATGAAACGCGTATGCTTTGGTTAACGTAAGTAAAAAGCTTACCTTGAAAGATGCATCAAAATTATTCAGGCTGTTGGACACACTGACAACGCAATAGGAGATTGCAATTTCTCCCGCCATGCCAATGTGGTCAAAATAACGACTTTTTTTCGCGTTAGAGGTGTCATTTGGTTCGTTTGCTTCGTTCGCACCGCTGATTCCGCCAAAGTAAAGGAAAGGAGTAAAATATTGCTCTGGCAGCTTACGCTCTTTTGTCACGCCAATTTTGAGGCATCTGTCAAGTCGGCATTTCTTTCGTCTCGTCCGATTCTTATTATCGGCAACGTGACACTGGCCGTAGAATTGGCATGTGGACCCCACTTTTCCTTGCATCGAGTGGCAAAAGAAGCGCTTACAGTCATCGCAGCTCATGGTGTGATAGTGGAAGCCCATGGCATCGTCTCCACAGACGACACGTGGTTTGGGTCGTTTGGTGGGGTCCATATATCTTCGAATGTACCGTTCTGCCGTATGGAGGAAGCAAAAGCCCAAACTAGTTGTTTGAACTCAGCGTTATACAGTATTGAGGTCCTACATTGTCATCATGAAATGCTTCATACCCTATCGCTGACAGATTTGATCTGCAAGAACCGCAAGGCATCATCCACCGTAGTAGCCATAACTCGCGTCTTGTAATTTCTGCACACAGGAAAAACACTTGGCTGTGTGACCTGGTAGGAGGTAGAGATTAGACATCAGAAATGGGAAAAGTAAAGCTATCTTCAGTCTTGTTCTGGAACAACCTTCGTCACCGATGCAACTAAATTTGAAACTACGTAAATAGTGGTGCCATGGTAGTGTATGTTCATATCGAAGAAGACACCACGGTCGAACTGCTCACTCAGTGCATATAAACCACAGTCTACAATTAAAGGCAAAGGGTAACTTGCGCACGTTTCCCCTGAATTCTCATAAGCCCCGAAATACCTGTGCCCACAATGGAGGGGAGTACGTGGAAAGCACGACTTTTTCAGGATAAACTAATATTTCAAGCATGGACACTTAGAGTTAGTAAAAGTCTACCTTGCTGATAAATTGTGCAACTTCATTCCTATTGATGCAGCCGTTTTCGAACTGCTGATCTTGCCTTTTCGACTAGTGACTTTAGAAAAGCTGCTGACTACTGTTTCCTTGGGTGGCTTGGATGCAGGAGATGTGGTGAATGAAATGATCTTGGCTTGAACACTGGGCTAGAAAGGGAAGCAGGAGAGGAGGTCCAATTATTGCAGCTTATCAGAGGAGGCGTGGACTTTAAAGTGGCGCCAAATTAGGTCGTGTATCTCCATAACCGTTTTGTACACTTATCCGTCTACCAAACAGCCATCATTCGTAGAAAGCGACTTGAGCCTACTTACCGCATACAGGCCAATTGAGTACACGTCAGTTGTTTATATGGCTAAGGCTCCTTGTGGTGTTTCACGCTTTGTGCACGGAACTCTAGCTTCCCAAACACTGAGAACAGGTAGTTAAACAGAAGATGTCGCTTTAATCACGATTTCGGGTTCTTGATCAAGCCATGTGTACACTTAGTAGGAAAGATGCGATGACAAGAGATACTAAGTGCGGCATTTCAAGAACATGTGTGTGCATTTATTTTCAGCGTAAATTAAAGGCCAATTTTGGAGGAAATGGGTAATGAAGGGGGCAAGCAAGCAACTAAACGGAACATTGATAGCAATGCGCTAAAATTAATCGGTATATAGATGAT